TAGCCACACGGGCCCTGCAGGGCCCGTCCCGGACATTCAGCCTAAAAGCCTAAAGCTTAGGGCTTACAGGCCCCGTTCGTTTCAGCCTGAAAGCTGAAAAAACGAGGGCCTACAGGCCCTACCCCGTTTCAGCCTATTTCTAGGTCTTTTCAGACACAGAGTTTTCAGCCTGAAAGGGAGGGCCATTTTCAGGCCCTCATTGTTTCGACCTGCCGCTAAGACTCAGGCACGTAAACAGGGATGCGGAACAGGCCAAAAATAGCCTGTTCCTCACGAGTTTCAGCAGGAGCTGCAGCTGCAGCCCCTGCCTCCCTTCGGCAGGCTCAGGAGGCACACCCGGTAGTACATAGGAAGTTTCCATGCGATTCACGGGTAGGTAGTGTCAGTGCACACAAGTAGTCTTCAGGATTTCGGCCGCAGCACTCAGGAGGAGCGTTGCAGTAGTCTTTAGCGCTAGTAGTATTAGCGCTAGCTGTAGTCTTCAGCGCTGGGCGCCATAGCTGTAGTTGTAGTCTTCAGCGCTGGGCGCTGGTAGGTGGTAGATCGTAGAGTGGAAGAGAGACTGGCGGAGGCCAGTGATACTTACCTATGGCGCCATCGCTCCAGCTCCATCTTCGTGGTACCTGTATCCAGGCGCCAACTTCACAGGTTAGTACTGGACACAGAGAGAGAGAGCGTTCTTCTTCTTCCTCTTCTAAGTCCACCATCTCTTCTCACCCTCTCGCCACCTGACTTCTCAGACTACGACAGAGAGACAGAGTTGTGACTTGAGACTTGACGACATTGGATCCAGACTTGACATTTGGGATTCAGACACTTCGACGAGGGACTATTTGGGCTTGTGCCRAAGACTTGGTGTTGACGACATTCCCATCTTCCCCCTCCTCTTCGTCTATCCCCTTCCTCTTCGTGTGTGTATGGTATGGGCTGGAGCAGTCTTGTTGTCTGAAGCGCCAGACCCCATTCACACCATGTGACGATGATGATGATGAATGTTCAGGGCTGCATTGCAACATTGATTGTTCGGATCACTAGTATCTAAGTCTTCCGCTGTGCTATTTTATACTTTGTATTGAAAGGTCGGTTCTTGTTTTGGTCTGCACGTTATAGTATGCAACACTCTGTGGGTAGGTGCTTGGAGTGGCTCAATGGAAGGTGCTTGGAGTGGCTCGGTGGGTAGGTGCTTGGAGTGGCTTGGTGGGTAGGTGCTTGGAGTGGCT